TTCCAAGACTGATTTTACAGTCAGCTGATAGAATGAAGCGAAGAAAATGGTAAACAAAGAACTCGGAAAATGAGAGTGCAGAAATAACAACGTTTAGTTCGACAAGAAAATAGTTTATACGAAAAATTGGTAAAATGCATTCTAGTGCATTGAAAATAAAATAAAACAAGAAAAAAACGCTACATATTTAAGTATATTAATGTATAAATGTTCAATTGTTTATTTACCTGTTATTTTTATTTTATTTTATTTTCTACTGCTATTTTTTTAAACAAAAAGTGTTATATTTATTGTATCAGGCTCCTTTTTGCAGAAAACTGATATTTACTAAATATTACACAATATAGACACAATTAAGAATTTTGTATTGATATTTATTTGTAAATATAGGTAATTTACTACAAACAATTTTCAATATATATTTTTAAATATATTGAAATAAATATATTACACAAGTACAAGTGTATAAGTACAATACTCAAGGATTCATTTTAAAGACTTAAATTTCATTTCAGTTGTGAATATAGAACATCTTAAACTATGGCTGTAACACGATACCTCAGATTATGTCACTCTAAGTACTTCTATGAGTCTTTAACTCTTGCGTGGGCATTTCAAGCAGTGCTCATTAATTCTTTAGCATTCAAATTCTTTCATTTGACAGTGTAAAAAAATTGAAACAAGTACAAATGAATGTTTTCATTTTTTGACATATATATTAGGGTACATGTTAAAATTATGTATGTATTATTTGTTATTACTCGATAAATTCTTGTCCGTTCTCACCTTCAAAAAATTTAGTATATGGTGCAAAAATGGTCCAAAATACATTTATCCATAAATCTAAATCAATGAAGAATTTAGGAAAAAGTATTCCTTCGGATGAGAAATAAACAATTAACATTTACAGACAATGGCCATCTTTTAAATTGAAATTAAAATGGAAAAATGAATAAATTAGAAATGATACGTAAACTATTTCATCTTGATGAAAATCAACATGCATCTTTACAGAAATTTCTTAATAACTGTTAATTTAGAATAAGGAGTCTAAGGTCCGTCATTTTGGGTTCCATGCGCCATTTAAATCTAGTGTTAAAGTCTTTGCATTCTTTTTCTGTTTCTTTTAGAAAACTTTTTGACAAATTTTTATCAATGGCTCCAATTATAAATTTTTATTTGGAGGATTTGAAACTGGCTTCAAAATTCAAATTCATTTTTCTTAAAAAAGAATGCGTTTGTAAGAAAAGAAACGTAAATTGACACGCAATTAATAACTCTGATGGAATATTATGACAGATTCTACCGTTTTCTTCGCGTTTAGGTAATATCTATTAAAACCGGTGACATAATGCTTTTATTCTCGTAGTTTGATGCTATAAATTCCACGTAAGAATGCGAATTTTGCGTGCCAATGGTGGAATATGACGTCATCGAATAATCAGTGAAATGATGTCATTCATGAGGGCGTAGAATCGACGTAAGCTCACGAAAGGAGCGGTCTGAAGAATAAACTATGATTATACTGATTAGACGCAATGTCGTGATTAGCGCTTGAAATTTCTCGTAGGTCTTTAAAAAGTACGGAGGAAGATTAAATCTGTTCCCTTGAACAATTAACGGAACTCAATTACATCGTTGTTTCTACAATTTTTAAAATTAGATTTATTATAAAATCTTGGAAAGCAGGAAGTATGTTAAAACAATGTTAGCAAATTTGAGTAATCTGTTTGCTGAGCTTTTATTCTTAATTGTATGGATGTGTAATAATTTATTTATTTTAATTTGGCAAATTGATGTTGTGTAATTAACTAAATGTTTTACTTAGATTTTAGTTGTTGTTGATGACGTATTCTATTTAATTTTGAATAAAAAATGGAAGATGAAACGTAAAATGAAATATGAGTGTTATCTGAATTATAGTAATTTTAATTTGACAAATTAATGTTGTATAATTAACTAAATTTTTTAAATAAGTTTATACTATTACAATTTTTTTAATATATTTTACTAATTTTAAGTAAAGAATAAATAAATAATAGATTAAACGTACAGTAGATTATGCTATGAGCTTTATTTTAAATAATTGAAAAAATGTTATAATTAGAGATAAAAATTCTGAAAGACTAGTTTGATAATTCTAGTATTAAATATTAAATATTAAATATTAAATATTAAATATTTAATAAATATTTAAATATTTAAATATTAAATATTTAATATTTAGTATTAAATTTAAATTTAGTATTATCTAGTATTAAATATTTAATTTTCTTGTGTTTGTAGATGAAGATGTTTGTACAAATATCTACTTTAAATAAATTAATGAAAATATTGAATGATTATGATTGAGAGATAAAAAGAATTTTCAGTAATTTTTTATAAACAAAAGTCTAGCTGCATTTGTTATTTATTATATCATTCTATAATATTAAATGTAACAATAGATAATTTATAACAACAACAACATTCTTTAACAATAGTTAATTTATAGCAATAGAAATGTTACAAATTAACATTAATAGAACTATAATATAAAAATAATTATAGAAATTAGAAAAAATGTTATTCTTTAAAAATGATTTTAATCTTCTATGAAGATGAAAATGTTTCAAATGAAATGCATATATCTTTAAAAACGATGTTTGTATTAATGCATTATCATCACGTACACAAAATGAATAACAAGTGTGAATCACAGTAAGTTTATCGACAATGATTTCAATGTTTCTCACACGTAAGCGAGAAATGAATCAACACCATTTATCGGAATTTAAATTATGTTCTTTGAATAAAAAACACAGCACACACTGACTAATTATTATAACTGAAGATACATTTAATTTTTAATAGCAATTAAATCATTTATATATGACATTATAATATTCATTTAATTGCTATTAAAAATTAAAAAAAAATGTATATGATTATAGTGTCATAAACATTTATTATACGATAATTAATGTCTTTAAAGTATTGTACAATTTTTGATAACGAGATTTTTACTCGCGAAAGTATGAACAGTTATTACTTTGAAGAATTTTTTCGTAGAATAGCGTATATCGATTAAATCTTTTCGGTAAACAATGTTTACAAGAAAATATTTGATTTTGATACGCTGTAACTTTTTGTTGGCGGCAAGTTCAATTAGATTGATTGAAAATGGTGATAAATGTAGACGTATTGATTAGGATATTGCGTGGTAAAAGTGATTAAAAATTATAGGAAATTCGATAAAGTATATGGACTTTCAATATTGTTCAAAAGAAACAAATTTTTTAATTTATAAATATAGAGGTTTTCAAATTACTGGATTTTAAGTTTAGAAATTTGGAGATTTGGGAGTTTAGAAGTTTAGCAGTTTGGGGATTTGGTAATTTCAGACGATTGCTATTTGGAAATTTTAGAATTTGGAAGTTTGGGAATTTGGAAGGTTGGAAACATGGAATTTAAGAATTTAGAAATTTTGGATTTAAGGAGGTTGGAAACTCGGAATTTAAAAATTTAGGAATTTGAGCATTTGAGAGTTTGGAAATTTTTGAAGGTTGAAATTAGGAATTTGAGGATATGGGAATTGGGAAATTGGAGAATATAGGAATTTGGATATTTAAGTATTTGGGAGTTTGAGAATTTTAGAAAGTTGGAATTAGGAATTTGAGAATATGGGAATTGGGAAATTGAAGAATTTGAGAATTTATGAATTTGGGAATTTAGAAATTGGGGAATTTGAGAAGATGAGAATTTGGAAATGTCAAAAGGTTGGAATTAGAAAACCTTGGAATTTAAGAATATGAGAATTGGAAAATTCCGAAATCTCGGAATTTAAAAATTTAGGAATCTAGAAATTTTAGAGTCTGGAGATTTCAAAGGTTAAAATTTAAAAATCTTGGAACTTAGGAATTTGAATATTTGAAAATTTGGGAATTTAAAAAATTATAGAGTTAGAAATTTTAAAATCGAAAATTTAGAAATTTGCGAATTTAAAAAAGTAATTGTTCAGAAACTTTACATATATCATTTTATAAAATAGAAAGCCAAGTATGATAAATATTAAATTATATTAGACTAGTAACTCCATTTGTGACTTCACAAGTGACCTAACAATATTTTTCGCCAAAATTCCAAAAATTGCATTTAAATGTAGAATTACTTGGTATCTAAATCCGAGAGATTTCGTATCAAAATACGTAGAAAGATCGCGAATGTATTTATCATCGCATTGCGTTTTTCATTTATTGAACGATTTCTTTATCGTTGTTTACACTATTTGATACAAACACACGCGTATACTTTAACTTTTGACGTTTAATAGATTCTTCCTATAAGTTTTAACATTTTTACTATTTTTTCCAGTACCTTCAACTTTCAAGAAGTTTAATTATAATGAAACTAGAATTTAAACTTTCAAAATTTCTTTAAATAAAAATTTTATACGAAACAGAATTTTTAAGTTGTATAATATGAGTATAATATGAGTTTATATAATTTACAAGAATTTGTCTAATTTATTAGAAATTCTATAATTTCAAGAATTTTCATAGGTCACTAGAATTTGTATCTTTTTCAAGAATTTTGATAATTTCCAAAAATTCATACAATACAAGAATATACATAAATCACAAAAATGTATGTACATAATTTATGTAGTTTGTGTTATGTACTTAAGAATATTTACACGTTTCAAGATTTATGTTTGATATAAATTCCCCATACCTCAAGAGTTTTCATGACTTACAAATTTCTATAGTTTACTATAACTTTCATGACTTACAAAAATTTTTATAACTCACAGGAATCTTTGTTTCAGTATAAAATCTCGTTCTATTTAAAAAGGGATGAACGGATGCATTAGGTCACCCCGTATATAAATGATAATGATACCACGAAGCAATTTGAGGGACGCCGCTATAGCGTCCCGGCTAAAGAAACAAACGTGACTATAGTCATGTTGAAACAGCTTACACACGCTATACATAACGCGTGTGTAAGCTTCAGTTCGCGTAAACGTATAGCCGTGTTTTGGTGAGTAAAAAATCGGTGCTCTTTCATGGTACGCATTCGAGTCTTCAACATCTAGTCGTTGCTGAACCATCGTCTTGTGAACATCTCTGTTAACCTAACATCTCTGTTGTCAGTTCTCATGTAAGTTTCTCTTCGATAAACAACGGATTTCGAGCAAAACTGGGTCGACTTTCCACTATTTTTTGAACCAACTTGCCAACAAAAATAATATTTAATTCAAGTTTTCAAAAAACTTGTTCTTTTCAAAAATTTCTAAAAAGATGCAACGCGAATAACATCGAGTAACGTTAATAATTTTTGTAATATTTCAAATTGTACAATTGATTCAAATTAAACGATTTGTTTGAAAGTGAGTATTTTTTATGGCGATTTTTAAATAGCAACTGACCCACTTTTGTTTCATGCTACGTAAAATATTCAGTGCATTTGTTTACCATCAAATTTTTATACTCGGTGTTTGTGACGCAGTGATTGGTGCAAAAGTGAATATTTTTCTTTTTTTATTTGTGACAATACAGAAAAATCTGGAAGCTTTTTGTTTCGTTCAGTAAAGTTTTTCAACTTAATCGTTTTATTTATTAATTTCAATTTATAAACGTGTAATCATTTTTCTCTTAAAGACACGTTTCTATTTTATTAAAACTAGTTTGTAAAATAAACAACTATTTATGTTTTGTTTTAGTATGTTGATTAAAAGTAAAATGCGCGTATTTTTGAATATGTAAACAATTTGACGTTTATTACTTCACTTTATTTATTTATTTACTTTATTTATTACTTCAAATTAAATTATGATTTCAAAATAAAATAATGATAAACATTTAATTAAATTATATATTCAATTTTATATTTAAAAGTATTTAGCTTTGAGTTAAAGTCCAATATTTAATTTTTATACAGTTTTTTTGCAAGATCATTTAAAAGTTTATATAATTTAACAGTATACAAACTTTTTCAGTATACAAAATCTTATTCTTCTAATAATTTTTATATACGAAATTCTTAACTTTAAAAACACTGTAAATATATTCCAATGAAAAATGATCTTAAAAATGACTCAACTTACATTTCATTTTATAAAAAATATACATGTACACATTTTAATATAAGAAGTCTACACATTATATTAAATTTTATATTTTATAACATTTTTTAATATCTACTATTAGTTATATTAATTCAAATGAATTAATCATATTAAATTAAATTAGTCACATTAAGTTATACTAAAATTATTTTTAAAATCATTTCTAATAATAAAGTTGAGTCAATATTTATCAAATTGATAAACTGGAATATATAAACATCATAAAATGTAAAAGTAATAAAATTTATTATCGCTAAAGCAGTCGGAGGCTGGAAATGCAAACAAAAAAAGATGTTTTTTTTCACAGCATCCGCATGAATCAGACTTATTTTACGAGAGATAGCAATAATCACATTCACTATGCAATATCACGCGATAAGGCGTAATATGAAATACGTATGAATAAGCAGAGGAAGAGCAATCATATCTAATCTAACCGGTTTTCATTCATATGCAAATTGTTCTTAACACCTATTTCAAAAATCGCCTTTCATCTCGATCCTTTTAAAATGTGGTCACAGTGATGTGACGAAAAACAAAATATTGACATGATATTACATAACCTATAACGAATATAACCAGTAGTAATAACAGAAAAATGGAAGGACAAAATCAAAATAAAAAATAGTAACAATCCATAATAACAAATATAATAATAATGAATGAAAGTTTGTAAATAACAAAATAATTTTATATATATACTTTGTTTACATATGTAAAATTATTTTGTTACTTACAAACGAAAGAAATACAATTGGTAATATTTTATGATTAAAAATTACTTGTATATATAAATATTGTAAATTATTCTTTTTGGTTACATTATAATAGTTTTTTTAAATATGAAAATTGAATTGCTTAATTTATATTTAATACTACATACAAATTTTACATTTATATTGTAGAAGATAATTACATTTAGTATAGACAGATTAGTAAAATAAATATTACAAATACTAATATAGAAAAATAAATATTAATTTATGATATAAATAAATTAGTAAATTATTAAACGTACTAATAAAGATACTAATTTATTTTAATATAATAAATTGATAGAAATGAATAAACATCAAATTACACTTTCTTTAAATTTCTTCTTTCCCAAAGTGATTAACACGCAGTTTTAAATGAAAGAAACACAAGAATTTTTGTGGAAACAAACATAAAATGTTTTTAATATTGTTTTTATCATAATTTTGCTAGTAATTTTGTTAGTTTAAAAAGTGTTGCAAAATCTGTGTCAAGGTTTTTCGGCCAATGATTGCACGCGTGAAAGTGCAGCTTTCTTTTCAGCGTTAAATTCATTTTATGCCCAAGACGTGACACGCCATTATAATTTTTTGTCTGCTACTTTTCTCTCGCTTTCTTCCAATCTGTATAGGGATTGTCAAGATCACCGTGTAAACTAGTTTCTAGTGACCTTCGCATAGTCTCCTCTTGAATCGTTACATATTTTCGTAGATTACGACCTGACTTATGTATTGGAAATAATTTCGCAGTGTTTTATACACAACAGTTTCTCCGAAAGTTTTTGTTTACCGTATGACGTCAAATATCATTTCTATTTACAATTTCAGCAGAGATAAAATTTTCTACGTATTTACAATCAGTGATGGAATTTAAAAAAGATATGCATTCATCTTTCTGTGATACTTTTTTATTATAAAAAATACTGCGTATTCAATACACATAATACATAAAATACAAGAAATATACAGTATTTAAATTTGAGAATAATTTGCAAGCAATTACGGAAACTTATGAGGAAGGAATATTATAAGTGATATTATAGATAAATGACTAAAAAAAAAAATAATTTTGAAACTGTAAGTGATTTTGGTTTTATTGCTTCCTTCAAATTATTAATTTAAATTATTCTTTTTATTATTCTGTATACATCTTATTCATATTAATTATTTATTTAATATGTACATTTTATTAGTAATAATTATGTAATTACTATGTACATTTTATTAGTAATAATTATGTAATTACTATGTATATTTTATTATTAATTATATGGTTAACATGCAAATTTAGTTAGTATTCATTTTTTGGTTAACATATACATTTTATCAGCATAAATTATTTGGTTAATATGTACAATTTATTAGTATTATTTTTTTTATTAACATATGCATTTCATCACAACAAGCTTCGTACAAAATTGTTAAAATTTTACGAAATATCGAAAGACTTTCGCACACACCACATGTTAAATACAGGTGTAAATATTCACGTCAGGTGTTCCCGTATCTACCACACTTTATTCTGTCCATTTTTGGAATTACATGGTCAACGTAAATTGCATAAATTGATAGTTCGTTCTACTGACCTGTAGTATTGTGCAAGTTTAAGCATTAAGAAAAGATTAAGCATTCCAATGAAACCATTTTGAATGGAAGGAGTATTCGTTATTAATTCAATTTAAGAAAATAGTTTTCCCACATTATAAATCTTATTACTAGTATTATTAGACTAGTAATACTTGGATTTTACAATTTTTATTTCAAATTTCAAGTATCCGTAATCTAAAATGGAATTAAAAATTTCAAATCAAAATCTCAATAATTTTTTCTTCGAAGACAATGTACAATATACAATACATTAATAAAATATACTAATGATTCTACATATTTATTTAAAAAATAGCATAAATAAATACGAATTATTTCAAATTTTTAACTAAACGTTACTATTGTGCATTATTCTATTTACTTCAAATTAATCAAATAATTCTATTTAATGGTGTGACTAATGTTATTTAAATCACAAACTTCAGTAACTAAATATTATTTATTCTAAAAAATTTGATAAAATTAGTTCACATTTTTTATAAAAAATATATTGGTTACTAACTTGTCTTTCTAAAAGAATCTGAAACTACTAAATAATTGACCTAAAACTTTACATTAAGAGATGATATGAAGCGTTTAATTAACTGTAAAAAAAATTGATATATTTATTTAAAAGTTTCTGAGAACATCCAACCTTTATTGCTCGAAAATCTTGAAAACTTTTATTCATTTTAACGAATATAGCTTCAGGTTGAACTTCATTTATTATGCACATTTTTATTTAGTTTAGATTTATAAATCATTCAGAATAGAATTTGTGCAATAACATCGATAATTGTGACATTTCAAGATATTGTTTATATCGGTCAATGTATTATCATTAGCGGTAAATATGCGATTAATTCATTATATTTAATTTATTATCATTTCAGTTCATGACTTTTGGTCTGTATTGAAGTGTGAATTGGAAGATTAATATAATCTTTTCTTTAAAACAAATTTAATTTAATTACCAATATTACTTGTGAATACATTTAAAATCTAATACAATTTAATAAAATCTAATAATACAAATAAAGTATTATACAAATTTGTGTTTGAAAAGTGAAAGTATATAAATATATTTCATTTAATAAATTTGTAGCTGATTCAAAATTATTCTTGGTGTTACAAATGTCAAATTAAATCAGATTAAATACAATTAATAATTACACGAATGAGTTTAAGAATATAGAAAGTATTAATTTAATTTAAGAAATGTGTCTTTGATTTGTGTTTCCTACAATTATTTTTACAAAAATGCAAATATCAAATCAAACTTTTGCACCAATAATTTAAATTTTTGTTGCTTATTAATATGCCATTTAATTCATAAAAGTCAAAATAGTAATAATTTATAACAATTACAAGTAATATTACGAAAGTAAAATGAATATGAAATTTATGACTTATGTACATATGTGTGCTCATAATTTTAAAAAGAATATTGTATAGAGAAAAGTTCTGTAAATGCAATTCATCAAAAATTATATTAACAAAACATGTTTTTTCCAGATAAATCAGAATGGCTCAAATCACCAGACTCGCTATCATCAAATTCTTGGAATTGGTAAGTAAAACGATAAATTTTGAACATTGACCATTCTATAAACGTTCAACAATTTAACTACACGTGAAATGTCAAATATAATACTAGAAATGTAATACAAATATTTAAATAATGGATACGAGTGAAATACGTAACTTGACTTACGCTTATGTAGATTTTTAAAACAAAGCAAATTAATTTTATAATTGTGGAAACTTTAACGTAATTGAAGGAAATGAAGTATATTTACATTTGAAATTTATTTTTGCAAAATTCGGTATTAATATTGGTGCGTTACAAAAATAGTACAGTTTATTTTGTATTTATTTATTAGTACCCCATTAACTGCTGAGACTGTTAATGATTTATAATATGTTTAAATACATGTTCTATATACAGGGTGTATAAAAAAAGTCGGAACACTTGAATATTTCGAAAAATATAAGTTTTATCAAAAAATGTTTCAGACAAAAGTTGTAGGGTTTAAAAAGTTCTATTTACTGGCAATATCATTTTGATCCTGAAGAGTCACTGGAAGGTCACGTGAAGGTCACTTCAATTTTTTTAAATGGAACACCCTATATATTTTTGCATATTCTTGTAGCTTACCTCGAGAGCTTTCTAAAACACTATGACAAAGTATTTTTTGATTAAAAACTTTTTGAGTTATTAAGGTTTGAAAGTTCCAATATTTTGACAAATTACAAAATATCTTACAAAATATTCATTTTTCAATAATCTTACCCTAATACTTTTACGCACAGAATAATGAGATAAATTGACTGGCGTAAAGAAAATACACAATTGTTTAAAAAAAAATAAATAAATTTGTAACAATTACAAATTTACGATGTTTCAAAAAAGCTATCTTTTGACATGGATACTGATCATTCCCCACTCCCAGGTACGCGGGAGTACAAGGGGGGGTTAAAAATTTTAAATAGAACCCTCTATTTTTTATTGCATGTTCTTGTAGCTTATCTCGAGATCTTTTCAAAACATTATAATAAATGATTTTTATATTAATTTTTCTTTTAGTTTAATTTTTCAAAATATTCAAGGGTTCCGACCTTTTTTATACACCCTGTATGTGTATAATTTCGAGATAAATGAATATAAAGAAGTTAGATATTTAAAGATCTGCATATACATATAGGTCGATGAATTTAAAGTATATGTACTAGAATCTAGGAATGTAGGAATCTGGAGATTTAGAAATGTGGAAATGTACTGATTTGGAGATGCAGGCATATGGGGATATAGTGATCTAAGGATATAGCAATTCAGAAATATACAGTCCCAGCCATCGAATTAGCACCACGTAAAATTTCACTTTTATGGTTATAATTATGACATACATGGAAAATTTTAGGTCATACAAAATTATTGCTAAATACGTGGATAATAATATAGACATAGCAATTTGTTACTATCGTAATAATAAATTGTATGGATGATGAGCGATTAGGACCATGCAAGCATTTACATTAGGCTCGAGTATCGATAGCACGTCAGATGAAATTTGAATGCTATAGAAAATGTCTGCCTACTCAAAAGACTAGTTCACAACTCTCCAACCACATTACCTGAGTTGAAAAGAATTACAGATATTTGGGAAAATAATGAAGATATAAAGCATATGATCAATGTATACAGTGGCCGATACAAGCTGTGATCAAAGCAAAGGGTGGAAATACAAGATATTAACATGTGTTAATGTTATATATAGTAGTATTGTATCATGGTAGTAATTGTAATTATATAATTACAATTTAAACACGCCTTTTAATTTTACGGAAAACGTGAAAAATGTTGGAAATTTGTAGTGGCAATTCGGTGACCAGAAGCTGTGATTAATAGGCAGTGAAAAGAGGTTATGTTGACGTTATGTCAGCTATCTTAAAACAAAGTAGCTCTATATGATTTAAAATGGCTGCCCTCTAACATTGATATGGACTAGTATTTTTGCTATTATTTTTGTGTTTGATATTAACATATGTTAATGTTATGTACAATAATAATCATGGTAGCTACTAAATTATATAATTACAATTTGTACAGGCCTTTTAATTTTATGGAGAACGTAAAAAATAGTGAAAATTTGTAGTCATTCGATGACCCAGGGACTGTAAAGATTCGTCTACCTTCTACGTTTTTTACTATTTTCAGATCCTGTCATTACATTATAAATACTTTGTATAAGTGTCTAATTGTGACTTGACAATTGCATGCCTCATTGCATTTTTAGTGATGATTTGCCTATTGTCTGTGTGCTAATTTTGTATAGCCAATTCTGAAGCAACTTATGACAACTCCATCATTTCTATTTAAAAAATTGCCTCGTGTTTTGTAGTTGAACTTATGAATATTTATTGCATCAGTTTATCATATAGAATTTCGCTCAAAATTAATAATATTGTTAATTTAGTACTTGCAGATTTTATATAAAAATAATAACCGATTTCAGTATGTTGAGTTTATTTCAAACTTTCATCTGCCTTTTTAAAAATCTGTTAGTCACATTTTGTCAAAATTAAATTATAATAAAATTATTGTCAATAATTAGAAATTAAATTAATTGAATTGTTGTAAATATTTCATTATATATTAATAGATAGCAAATTTCATAATTACCTGTTGAGGGTATTAAAAACACTTACTTTTTGTAATTAAAATTTGTTGTTATGTTTTCTAAAAATGTTGCAAATTTTTAACATTGCAATTCCTTTTACATAAATTAGTTTATTATTATTTTCTTATCAGCATTGCTTGCAAAAATGTTTAAATCCATTTTTCTTTCTCAAAATTTAAAAAATTATACAATAGTCAATTTTGCGTCTTTCATATTTATAACCTATAATCTACATACGAAAATAGTAACTTCGTATAAGTGAATTGCATTTGTGTTAATGCTTTACAGTTTATCTTTTAACGGTAAATCGTATTACTACAATACACTTTTAACATCAGCCAATTCACAGAGAAAGCTTGTTTACATTGTTGGTTTACTCGAACTGATCGAAGGATAATTTTATATGGTACGTCGACCTAGATTTCACGCTTTTCTGCATTAACTTAGATCGGTGTGGAACGTTGAAATCTCGAGTGCAAACTGAGTATGGTAGACGTACACCTCTCAAACTGTAAATCTACCAGAATGAAGAATGACATAATAGCTGAGAATTATGACTATGGGAATTTTCTTCTCATGATCTAGCCTTACCGGAAGTTCAATTAGTATTTCATTTGCCATTTTTTAATTACATAGACTGCGTGTCACGCAAATTTTCTTTCTTTCATTTTTACAGTAGAATATAGTCACATTTACAGATATAGTCATAATATCTATCACAATAGTCAGATTTACAGATTTACTTTGACAGCTTTTTATTTATAGTTTTACATTTACAGATTTACTTTGACAGCTTTTCTTTTATAGTTTTACATTTACAGATTTACATTTACAGTATTATATTTACAATTTTACATTTATAGATTTACATTTACAGTATTATATTTACAGTTTTACATTTACAGTTTTACATTTACAGTTTTACGTTTACAGTTTTACATTTATAGCTTTACATTTACAGTTTTACATTTACAGTTTTACATTTACAGTTTTACATTTACAGATTTACATTTACAGTATTATATTTGCAGTTTTACATTTACAGATTTACATTAACAGTATTATATTTACAGGTTTAGATTCAGTCTTTTATATTTATTGATTAACAATGACAGTTTTTCTTTAACAGTTTTACAATCACAGTTTTAATTTACTTGTACATTCACAATTATATATTTACAGTTCTACAAGCACAGTGTTAATTTACTTTTGCATTCACAATTATATATTTAAAGTTCTGCATTTACAATTTTACAATCACAATTTTCTATTGACTTTTACATTTACAGTTATACATTTATAGTTCTATATTTACAGTTTTGCATGTCCTATTTTTTAGTTTATTTACATTTTTAAACACATAATTGAGATACATTCTGTAAATTTTATCGTTAAATTTCGCTGTTTATTCATTTATTATTTACAACTTCAAGCAAATTACCTTTTCTTTATCATTTTTACTTTGATTTCAATAGAAAATATAATTAAACTAGATTTAAATAGAATTAAAAATTGTTTATAAATGTGATTTGCCTCTAAAAATACAATTTCAAATGTGGCAGTTTTTTGAAGTACATTTTATAATTTTTACAAAATTGTAGAATCACAAATAAAGTAATTAAAACGCAGCGTGTAATCAAATTATTAAAATAATTAGTAATTTTTAGAATAACAATATGTAGCAAAAATCAACAATTTTTGTAGTAACTATATACAACAAAAATGAGTAATTCATTCAAAAATTAATTATTCCAATGCAAATCGCTAATTTATATGATCACCTGTAACATTAATTAGATAATTTATAAAATAATTTATAACTGAATGGAATAATATATCAATTTTTCGCACGGAATCAAAATTAAGCAATGATCCTATTAGGGAAAACGTTCCAGGAATTCGCATCGAATCGCGAAGTGCAAAATGGAAACATGACGTAATCGTTAGCGTCTAATTAATAATGCAATAAGCATTATGGCGAGGTGAACATGGTTAACACGTTATGAATATAACATCAAGAATGACGAAAGAATGCTTTCTACGACAAATTAACCGTTCACTAATGTATCGATAAATCGGATACTTGGTTAACCCTAGATTTACGGACGATTAATGACTTATATTTAAATTGAAACTAAACTATAAAAATCTATGATTAATATAATTAACGGCTACTTACATTTAAATTGAAACTGCACTATAAAGCTTTAAATCCTAATAATTTTCATAATTTAAAATATCTAAGATCCGCCATTTTTACAGGTTCCGTAAATCTGGTACTAACCAATTACACTGTCCAAGAGCCAATTGGCGTTTCTATTTTCGTTTAGCAATTTTTATAGCCTTTTTCACGCTGATTACGAATCTGCAACCCGTTTTTCTCCAACACGTACAGTTTTTGAGAAATTTGAGTTTGAAAAAAAAAACACATTTTTAAAATTTGAACCAATTTTGTAAGGTAACTATAAAAGATACTAAGATTCTGTTTACATCAAGAGATTCTATAGACTTTCCCGAATTTAACGATGTCTGCGTTTTATGCATTCTGAATGTTTAAGCATGTTTAAATGGTCATTAAACACCGAGAGACACGGATTTTGCACCAATTTTTACGTATATTTTTCAATTTATCTTAAAAAGTAAGGGTCGTTTTTTTTACGATAGCAGGAAGCAAAATGGCAACGCGCGAGACGAAGCAAGGGCGGTGGTGCTCCGCGCCAGAGCGCCATCGCATTAATATTGGCGCGATATGGAACGGCCGCTCTAACGCGGAGCATCACTGTCCTTGCTTTGTCTCGCGCATTGCTATTTTGCTTACTAGCATCGGTAAAAAAACGATGTTGCAACTTTCTACATGCTCCGCGTTAGAGCGGCCGTTCCATATCGCGCCAATATTAATGCGATGGCGCTCTGGCGCGGAGCACCACCGCCCTTGCTTCGTCTCGCGCGTTGCCATTTTGCTTCCTGCTATCGTAAAAAAAACGACCCTTACTTTTTAAGATAAATTGAAAAATATACGTAAAAATTGGTGCAAAATCCGTGTCTCTCGGTGTTTAATGATCATTTAAACATGTTTAAACATTCAAAATGCATAAAACGCAGACATCGTTGTATTCAGAAAAGTCTATAGAATCTTTTGATGCAAACAGAATCTCAGTATCTTTTATAGTTATCTTACAAAACTGGTTTAAATTTTAAAAATGTGTTTTTTTTTCAAACTCAAATTTCTCAAAAACTGTACGTGCTGGAGAAAAACGGGTTGCAGATTCGTAATCAGCGCGAAAAATGTTATAAGAATCACTGAACAAAAATAGAAACGCCAATTGGCTCTTGGACAGTGTAATTGGTTAGTACTAGATTTACGGAACCTGTCAAAATGGCGGATCTTAGATATTTTAAATTATGAAAATTATTAGGATTTAAAGCTTTATAGTGCAGTTTCAATTTAAATGTAAGTAGCCGTTAATTATCATTTTTAAAAAAGGTTTTGATTTTCGTAATTTAAAATAAGTAATCTAGGATTATTTTAAGGGACTCCACAAATCTAGTATTAAATGTGAATCGAAATAGAACTTAGTTTGTAACTAGAGCACAATGGTATAATTCTACTGGGTTATTTATGGTGGTTACCGATAGAGTTGATGCGCTTGTTTCGACGACCTAGTTTCGAATAGCTTATTGATACTGTTTAGAAAAACTGTGTTCGATGAATGAATACTTTTAATGTTTTAGCTATAATTGCTATGGAGACGTTGGACGATAAATGTAGATTATTTATATTTGGAGATTCTTAGTATTTATTGGAATTAACAGTACTGATAATATAGGAATGAAAGTTTTAAATTTGGGAAGTGGAGATTTCGGGAATTAGGAAATTTGGCACATTTGAAATTTGGAAGCTTGGGAATTTGAAGTTTAGAGATTTTGAGAGTTAAATGATAACATAAATTGGGAATTTGGGATTTTGGGAATGGTTGATTTAGTAAATTTGGAATTTGAATATTCGGCAATTTGAAAAAATTTGGTATTTGTGATTTAGAAAATTTGATGATTTGGTAGTTTGAAATCTGGAATTTGGGAATTGAATAATTTCTCAAATGTGAGAATTTAGTGATTTTTAAATTTTAAATTTCGGGGATTTAGAAGCTGGGAAAAGAGAAATTTAAAACTTGAAATTTGACAGTTTTAATACAAGAAAATTTTCAATTTAATTAATTCGAAAATAGAAGACACATTAATCTCAATATTAAAAAATTTATGATTTCGGAAAGTTGATTTACTGTAACCAGTCCATAACAGGATTATTCTGTACGTTTCTCCATATCAATAATAAGTTACCTACTATTTTTATTCTTGTGTACACGAGTGTATTTAAAATGAAATTCATTCTCATTAATTTTAGGCAATAGTGTGCGTCCTCATAGGACTGCACTATCACTCATTCAATGCCGGAGATCAACATACTGCGATGATTACGATGGGTACCTTTGGCGGATATCTAATTATTCTTGTAGGACTATTCGCTGCTACTTTTCTGGGATCACCAGTTGATCGTCGTGTGGTATGTTAATATTAACTTTGAGTATATTTTACTTCACTGTAATAAATGACTTTTTAGATATTCATTTTAATATTAAACTTTTATACACAGATTATATTTCTTCCTTAATTTATCAAATTTTAAAATTTTAAAATTTTTACGAATTCATATATTCTCATTTTTAGATAATCGAATTTTTAAATATTCAAGTTTTCAAATTTTCAGTTATTCAATTGTTCAACTATTCAATTATGTAATTCTTCAATTTTTCAATTATTCAATTGTTCAATTATTTAATTATTCAATTATTCGATTGTTCAATTATTGGATTGTAAAATTGTTCAGTTATTAAATTTTTGAATTATTAAATTATTCAATTATTCAGTTATTTCATTATTCAATTATTGCATTGTTCAATTATTCTATTATTCAATTATTCTGAGGGAAATTTTCAAATTCTCAAATTTCCCAAATTTCTAAGATCCTAAATCGTTGATTAATTCTTCATTGTAAATTACTTCATGATTTACTTTTCTATAATCTTTTAATCTTTCTACAATTTAGACCTATTTTAAATGTTTGAAAAATTAAGAGAAAATATGTATGTTGTTGAAGTCGTCATCTTGAGTAACTTTTCCTCCTAACTGATTGTTTATTAAAAAGTTAATAACTATAAATGATTTCTAAAAATCAAGACTCGTGCGTTATCTGGCAACAAAAAACTTAATAATTTTGACAGCGATTTAGTATTTTGGGCCACACCTACTTGAAGCTATTTGATTGAATTTTTCAATCATGTTGAACTTCAGTGTTGGATTTCAGGTCGTCTAACACGAGGAATACTGTTCTAACCTAACCCAAATTATGCTAGGTTCGGTTAGGTTAGTTTAGATTAATATTTTTCCAAATAGTTTTTTGTTAATAACTTGTTAAATATTAATGAACTAGCAACGATTAAGTTATGAGGAAAATTTATTGAGAACCTCAACATATATCAAGCTTATTGTGAGCTCTTTTCCCAATATTCACCTAAACAAATTTATACAAACGTAAATAATATAAATTTGTTGTTTGCAGGATCTCTTCTTCTCTCTCGTCGGATTCGTTCTGTTCATCGTCGCTGGTGCTTTGAACATCGACTTTTTCATACACCTGACCTTCAAAGGTTCCTTCCGCACCACAGGAATCGCAAAAGGTGTCATCAGTTTAATCGAGGGAGCACTATTTCTCGTGGATGCATTTTTGACGTATCGAGGAGAATCTTAAAATCGATCACAGAAGAAACCTAAAATCACGCAATCATTCTCAACGGGAGTCACATTCTGTAACAATAAACGTACGGAACAATTATCGAGATACTGCCAAAGAGGTTTCGTCGTATGTTTTTAAGAAAAAGATTATGCTGATTACAAGACAATATGTACAAGCGCAACAGAAGAGTACAAATAAGAGTAATTGATTAATTGTTAGGTTTATTGATAGACAAATCTTTCAGATGTTAAAAATGAAAATTTTATAATACGGTTAATTTTCTACACATTTATTACACAATATACAAAGATAATTTGCTTATTCGTGTTCGTTTCTTTTTTGATTAATTATTGTACATTAAATTCTTTTTTACATTTTGATAATTTGGCGTGGTTACGAAAATAATTTTTCAATTTGACTTTTTAGTTTTTTGTATTTGTTCAAGTTTTCTTTTTTTACATATTTGATTTTGCTACGTCAGAAAGTGTAACCAAATATTTCCCTAGAATATGCGGCAGTCTCTTTGAAAAGTGAGGCCAGTGAAAGTTGTAATCTGATTGTTGCACATAAATTAAGCTACGATTGCACAGTGCAATTCGCTAAAATTAAGATCATCGCGTAAATATTCATTTCGTTACATAATATTCATGTATTTTTAATTTTATAAGCAATTTATTTTATTGTATTAATTTTATCTTGTGGTATTTCTCGCTGACGTTCGTTTCAGTTATTTCGTTAATTTATACGTTTTATATTTTTCTTCACTTCTACAACTGATTCATGTACCTAGCGTTCAATTGTTGGATGCACAATTGTATAAAATAAATCGTTTTCTTTAATTCTTATTACATGATTTTTATTTCATGACATCATCTCATTGACCCTATTCATATACATAATTTTAATAAATAACAATTTGAAATAAATTTAAATAAATAAAAATTAAATTAAATAAATGACAATTTCTACATATACAAATCCATTGTACATTGTGAAGATTATTAATAAAAATTGTTCGTAATTATCCTGTACCTCGTATATTTGTATTTTATTTATATTATTTGTCACATATTTTGAATTTATATACCAATCGAAGAATAATTATATTTAAATATAAATAATTTTATAAATGCAAAATAAATACATGGTTAAACAAAAATTTTACAAATATAATATTGTTAAACTAAAATCGTATGAATATAAATATAAATTAAATTTCCATCAATTATGTTTAGAAATCATTGTTTAATGCAACTTGAGATATGTTTTAATAATATGTAAATATTATTTTAATTAACTAAAGTTGAATTTCTTTATTTCTTTCCAGAAAATCTACTTTTTTAAAGAAATTTTCAGTAAAATTATTTCAGTGAAATCGTGAATGATTGAGGTTGATATACGTTTTACTTTCCACATAGCTTCGAATAAATTAATTAAAACATAGCCTCAAATTAAGTAATTGATGCGAACAGTTCTCGATCAATTAAAGTTAGCTTGGAAACTAATTATCGTCATTATTTCGTGAGATAGTAATGAAAAATTTGTGTGAAATTCAAGATTTCGAAATCTTTAATTAACTTCATATCAATTGAGCGATTAAATTGTAATTAATAATTGAAAACTTTTTAATTCGGGATTAAATTAATTATTAATTGAATAATTTTCTAATTAAAAATTACAGTTTAATATTTAATATTAATTTTTCTAACTGAGTAAAAATTAATTGTAATTGTTATCTGCTTTAAATTAACTTTTAATTAGTAATTAATAATTAATTTAATTAATCATTACTTTAACTAATAATTAGTAATTAATTTAATTAATAATTGAAATTTCTTAAATCAAGAATAAAAATTTACTTTGGTTTTCAATGAAAAGCAAAATTGCAATTTCCCCAAAGTGATAATTAGAATTGAATTTCTAATTAAAGATTATGCTAATTATAGAACTTTCTACTGAGTAAATATAATTTATAGTTCAATAATTATAAATTTAACTTTCATCAACAAATCGAAACGTTTATAGAATATTTTCATTTCTATTATTACTCAATTATTACGTAATAAATAAATAACGCATTATGATACTATTATTTATGAATATACATATTTATAAATATAATGTACTATGACTACTGTTATTTATTTTTATTTGCATGTTGACGAACTACGTTCTTTTACATATTTACAAATTCAAATATGGCGCCAAATGAACAAAGTTTTACTAGGAACCTAATAAATGTTTCTATTTCGCGAAATAATTCGAAAAAACGTATATTAAAAATTAAAACTTGTAAGTTATTCGAAACTGATGTTCTACAAGTCGTACAACACTATCGATATATTTCGAGAAATTTAAGTCGACAATCGATACAGTCGGTAAGGTCGACTAGCTGCAACAGTCAATTGTGTATGGTTGCGTGTGTGCGGATTGCACTGCCGCTTCAAGCAGCAGTTTTATTTACTAATTAGAGTGCCGATGTGCGGTAGGAAGTGTTAAATGTACGTGGAAAATGTCGAATCCGGGCGGTAGCAGGAGGAATGGGGCCATGAAGATTCGTTTAACGAGTGAGTTTATCAGGAAATTGCAATGAATCTACCGTGAGAGGAGTGTGAAAGTTGACCGATAGCCAACACGCGCTGTGATCCTTCCCGTCTTGATTTGTTGTGTATTCGTTAATATGGCCTCGTCGTGATCCTTATGGAGGCCTCTTCAAAATATATTTAAGCATATCTTTATGAATATCGAGTATTGTTCTGTCGGACTGGTGCAACGAAGAAACACACAAAAACGTTCGACTAGGGTTTTCGTCCTTTGGTTATGGCAACTCCCTATCAAAGGTCAAGACCCCACCGTGAGCACTCTGGGAGATCTCGGGACTGAAAACATTAATTTTTGTGAATTTATCACCCCCGCGTTGATTCTCCCACGATATTTAATACTTTCTAAGGGGCTTGATGTATCATGAGCAGTTTTCCATTTTAAATTGCTCCATGTTGATTAACTGAATGTAGAATATACCCGAGCTTAAATCGAATGTGAATAGGTCTAATTAACGAATGTCAGACGCCTAATGTACCAATGCACGAATTTAATATTCGTTGAAAGAATGCTTGATGACTTGCTCATGTTTGACTCCTTAAAACTAATTACATGTACAGTCAGGAACAAAATTCAGTGGACACTGGTAGAAAAAGGAAATATAATTTAGATGCTCTGACACAATTATTATCTTATTTATTTATGATTATAGTTAATATATTTAAACAATTTTTATAATTCAGTTTATGAAATGATTTAATGTACTTTGAGTAAGAGTACCTAAAAGTGCGAGACAAACAGGATTAAGTGAACATTATTTTCTGGACAAGGTTAAATCCTATAGATATTTATTTGTTTATAATTCTATACTAATTGTTGTAAGTGCCAATTGGTATCAATATTCTCATTGCATTGATACACATATATATTCTTAAGAATTTTTCATTTAATATGAAAAATAAGACAGTAGAAAGAAATTTTTGTGTAGATTTAAGAATCCATCATTCGCAATGACCCAGAATGCTTCAGTGATAAAAATATTGCTATAAAGTACTATATTTTAAATATCATAGTTGCAAAAATTTGAATTACATACATAAAATTTAACATTATGCTGAATATGAAAGATGCTCATAAAGAAAAAAGGTTTTATGAAAGGATTGTAAGAATATGCTATAGAAAACCAATTACTATACATTTAAATCTGTCAAAAAATGACAACATTTCAAAAATTAATAAATATATACGTTTGTGTGACCAATAAAAACCGATAAAAACTTTGTTTAAACTTGCTGAAATATACATTTATATGCCTGTTTTGTTCCAAAAGAAAGTGGTATTGAAGATTAAGAATAAATTTGAATCTTAAATTTTATCTCGTAGACTATAAAACATGAAGGTAGTTCTATTAGGAAATGTGGTCCTTTCTCTTGATATAAAATTAGAAATTTATTGTTATTTGATTGCTAATCGCTAATGTTGGCTAATGTATCAATCAAATGAAAGAAAATTTTGAAAAATCAGCAAAAAAAAATAAATAATACTAATGATTTTTAATAAATAATACTAATATCTTTTATTAATGTAACGCTGTGATACACAAAACCAAAAAAGTTATAAAATTTCTCTGTAACTATTCAATGGAAAGGCACCAATTACCAGTTCTTAGGTGATTAAAAACTATTATTAAAGCTAAAGGTGAAAAATATGAAACTGGCACAAAAGGCATGAAATTTAAAAAAAAAAGTAAGGTGCCCACACAATTTGTATTTAATCTTAATTTTTAATATTAGTTTATTTATACTTAATTAAAATAAATCGGATTATTAATTATGGTGAAAAGTAAAAAAAAGTTATTTGGGAAAGTCTTAGGAAGCTAAACTGAATTTCAATACTTTTACCTATAATGGTTGTGTCCACTTAATTTTGTCCTTAACTTTACATAAAGGTGGGTGATTTGTTTCATTCGATAAAAAAATTTGTAATTATATCTTTTCAAGTTAATTATTGGATACTTACTTTATAAATTTTACAGTTTTATGTGCCCGTAATCTTGCCAGAAAAGATCTGTTTCGTAAGTATTTTTTAGATTAAAAATTAAAAAATTATGCACTAATGTATTTTAATAAATTTATTTTAGGCTTACCAGATCCTTTTGCTAAGATAACTGTTGACGGTTCTGGTCAATGTCACAGTACCCATACATGCAAAGCAACTTTAGATCCCATGTGGAATCAACATTACGACTTGTACCTATTTTTTACCTATTATATTAATATAATCTTGCAGAAGAAAAATATGTAAATCTTTAATATTTTTTAGATACATTGGAAAGGATGATGGAATAACTATATCAGTTTGGAATCATAAAAAAATTCATAAAAAGAAAGGTGGAGGTTTTCTAGGATGTGTTCGAATATTGTCTAACACGATTCAAAGGCTGAAGGACACAGGATGTAATTATAATTTTTTGTAGTACCATGTAGAAGTTAATACTAGTCTTGCAGTGTACAGCTGTGTAATATTTATTTTATAGATCAACGATTAGATCTTTGTAAAGCGCACTCAGATGATACGGACGTTGTTAAAGGAGAAGTTGTTGTGTCTCTTTTATCACGAGATGGTCATAATGGTGCCGTAAGCAATACCGTAGGTCATAATGCTGTTGTTGACGTTCTTGGAGACCTAAGTTGTCCAACTGATTTACCAGATGGTTGGGAAGAAAGGAGAACTCAGAGTGGGCGACTTTATTATGTTAATCATTACACTAGAACCACACAGTGGATTCGTCCAAATACTCGGTAAGTTTCTCTGTTAAGATATATTGCATCCTCTATATTAAATTTACTAATGAAGTTTGGTTTTTGTAATAGACCTAATAATAGTATTATATCAACAACACCTGAACCACCGCCGTTACCTTCTTCTGAGCCCACTTCACCTAGCGGAAGTGGGAGCCCTTCTAATTTAAGAACTGAAAGTCCTACCAGATGTACACCTGAATGGAATGGAGATGGAACTCCTAGTAGAACACCTAGTAGGGATAGTTCTACTCCAAACACGCCAAGGAATACACCAACTCAGCAACCAAATAGGAATCAACAAAATCAACACAACACGAGAAATGCAACACCAGCATCGTCAAGGGAACGGCGGCCGGTTAGAGCAAATGATGAACAAAATGGTAATCAGAATGGAAATGTGAGGCCAGATCGTGGCGTTAACAATGGTCAATTACGAAGGCCTAATCGAAATAACAGGAATAGGAATAGTGTAATGGTAAATAATGAAAGGAGGTTCGATCCTCCGCAACCACCAGATTTACCAAGAGGTTATGGTAAGTATTTATTTATAAAGAAGGCTGTTGATATGAAAACAAATGTGCAAATTGGTTGTTTGTTTAAAGAAATGAGAAAAACACAACAAGGACAGGTGTACTTTTATCATGTACCTACTGGCTCCTCTACATGGCATGATCCTAGAATACCTCGTGATTTACCGGCAAATGAGTTAGCTAACGAACTAGGACCGTTACCTAGTGGATGGGAAATGCGACAAACTCAAAGCGGTCGAGTTTATTTTGTGGATCACAATAACAGAACTACACAATTTACTGATCCTAGATTGTCAAGTCAAATTATAAGTAATATATTAAAGTAAGTTTTCAAAAAACGAATATACTAAACGTAAATATGTAAAGTATAGATATACATAAATTATGTGTACCATCTTGTTTTGTTTAATCATAATATTTTTCTCATAGTAGACGACAAAATAGTACAACCAATCAAACAACAAGTAGTTCAAATAATCCAACTCCGCCTGCAAATGAACCTGCAGAAACGGAAACTCCTTTATCACCAAATGTTCAATGCACTACAGTTCAACCAAGGCCCAGGGCAGAAAATGGCAGTAATAATAATTCTTCACCAGGTAATTTAAAAAATTAGTACCTTAATTAATTTGTAAAATAAAATTTATTGTACACGTGTAACATAACTGTTTGACATTTTAGTTGAAAATACATCAGTTCAAAACGCTCAGACAGTATCAGAATTACCTAAAGAATTAATGGACAATGAACTTTTGCCAAAATACAAACGAGATTTAGTGGCAAAATTAAAATGTTTAAGAGCAGAATTAAATACTCTCCAGCCTCAAAGTGGTCATTGTAGGCTCGAAGTATCGAGAAACGAAATATTTGAAGTGAGTATTCGAATATATTGATGGAATAAGAAGTGATTAATTCTTTATATACATTATCTTTGTAGGAGTCATATAGATTGATAATGAAGATGCGGCCAAAAGATATGCGTAAAAGACTTATGGTTAAATTTCGTGGAGAAGAGGGTCTCGACTACGGTGGAGTAGCACGAGAGTGGTTATACTTATTATCGCACGAAATGTTAAATCCACAATATGGACTATTTCAATATTCAAGAGACGACAATTATACGCTTCAGATTAATCCAGATTCAGGAATAAATCCGGAGCATCTGTCTTACTTTCATTTTGCTGGCAGGATAATAGGAATTGCTGTTTTTCACGGTCATCACATAGATGGTGGTTTTACAACCCCGTTCTATAAAATGTTGCTTAATAAAGCAATTACTCTTACTGATATAGAAGGTGTTGACCCAGAATTACATAGAAGTCTTACATGGATGTTGTAAGTAATCAATATTAAGATAATTGTACATCATATTTGTACAACATATATAAAAATATTTTTCTATTAACAGGGAGAATAGTATAGATGGAGTATTGGACGCTACATTTTCAGTGGAACATAGTAGCTTCGGAATGTTAAAAAATCATGAACTGAAACCCGGTGGTAAAGACATTCCTGTAACTGAAGAAAATAAAAAAGAATATGTCCGTTTGTATGTTAATTATCGTTTTATGCGAGGAATTGAGCAACAATTTCTAGCATTACAAAAGGGATTCCATGAATTAATTCCACCTCAACTGTTAAGACCATTCGATGAAAGGGAATTAGAGTTAGTTATAGGTGGTTTAGGAACTATTGACATTAATGATTGGAAAATGCATACACGATTAAAACATTGTACCCCCGATACGCCAGTAGTAAAATGGTTTTGGCAAATAGTGGAATCCTATGGAGAAGAAATGAGGGCTCGATTACTTCAGTTTGTTACTGGAAGTTCAAGAGTTCCATTACAAGGTTTTAAAGCTTTACAAGGTAAATACATTTCTGTAACAAAACTAACAAATGTGTAGCATTATTTTTATTTGTACCATTTTTGATTTTATATAGGATCAACAGGAGCCGCGGGCCCTCGTTTATTTACAATTCATGCTGTCGATGCGCCGAGTGAAAATTTACCGAAAGCGCATACCTGTTTTAATCGAATAGATATTCCAGAAAGTTATCCGAGTTATCAGAAAATGCTTGATAAACTTACACAAGCGGTTGAGGAAACCTGTGGTTTTGCTGTTGAATAATAGGTAAAATGCATAAATTCATTTTACTTATATAATTTGTGTTATAAAATCACTGAAGTTACGGGTTTTCATAGCAGGAAATACTTATCGACCGTATTTACTGTCGTTAAATTAAATATTAATTTTTAAAGTAGCAGGAGATGTTATCTGAAAAGAATATGAAAAGAGTTAGTATTATAAAATGAAAATGTTAATACATGAAACGTTAAAGAAAATTGTGACAAATGTTTTTGTACAAATGTCCAAATGGCCTTGATGGTTCTAATGACTTCTAAATGATTGTCGATTGGTACATGTATGTATATGAACACCTTTGTGATTTCCACACTTCGTCCATAAAAATTTAAATCAATGGTTCCTCAGAAATTTTGATTATATTGGTCTTTAATTAATTTAGTCTTCAGTGACTAATAGACATACACAAATATTGCAATTTCGCTGAGGTAAATATTTCAACTGATCTAAAGTTTGATTTTATTTACATGAATTACATTTTCCATCATACACCTAGGATCAATAATTTACTTATCATAAGATCACCATCGAAGAATTAGCTGCATTGTTTTCAAGATATAACGACAAATATAAAAATCATGCATGCACAAAATATGTACAGAAAATGAATTCTTTCACATATTGATAAACACTCATCAGTAATTAGATACGCTCATGTTAGTATTTTATATTAAATAAAAATATTAAAAGAAAAAAAATTATTTACTTAAGAATCTCAAAATATTCAAGTATTTTCTATACAAAATTTTAAAAATTAATTTCTTGTAGTAGGACAATGTGTTTGATTTTTGAAAGCTTTCAATTTCTTTTCAGTTAAGTGTAATAATAATATGCACAGTTTATTAATAATTTCATATTAACAACTTTCAGATAATAGAGTTTAGTGACAGACTAAGGATATATGTATATTCAAATTCACGCTATATATAATCAAATATCGGTTACAAAACAGTACTGGAATCCAATATTTTACTATGTATTGTTTGAAATTGGTTATGATGGAGATGGAGAAATTAAAAACTTGTACATACATTACAGATTTAGACGCAAGTGTTAAGTTTTTTATTGTGAATGTTTTAAAGATTAAATAGAAATAGATTCTGAACACATTTCAACCTCTTAATTTTTTTAAGGAATGTAAATTTTACTAAATGTTTTCAATATAGACTTCGTAAAGAAGTATTGATTTGAATTATGTTAATTAAAATTTAAACCAATTTATAGAAGAACATAAGTTTCAGTATTAAAATTATTTTTATTAATACATATAAACACTTGCGTATGGCCTCTGTAATGAAATCGGGAAATTTTGTTATTGTTATGTAACTAATATTGTCCAACCGTTGTTGCTTGCTTAGCAGCTAGTAGCACCCGAATGTGTTAGTAAAATGTAAATAGTACAGTTTAATACAAAATTAATAACACGAGCGTATAATGTGCGAGTTATATAATTAAGCTCGGCACAATAAACATGCATCGGTTCTAGTGTAGACTGAATCCGTGAATCCTGTACATTAGCTTTAATTTAAAATCGAACATATGTATATTTAAGGAAAGGGTTTATCCGACAAATTTATGTAAAGTTAAAAAAGAGTTTTGCTCGAATCAACCCTTTTAAAAATTTCTGAAATGATCTATACTTTACTAATTTCGAATTTGCTATGACAAAACTTTTAGTAAAGTATGGACACTTATTTATCGCACGAATCTTTCGTTTAGTCTGTAACATTTACTTTTATTGTAAAAATAGCTAATAGCACGAATCATCATTTCGTATTATTATTATTATATTATTGTATTTTATTCTGCACATAACTGTGATCACACATATCGTGAAAAGAGAAGATATAGTGGGAGATACTTATCACAAATTTGTTTTACATTCATCTTTTAATAACAAACCATTATGTTTGTGTTTGTTTCGATTATTGTTTTTCTAATGAGATGTTGTATTTAATGTTTTCGTATGTAAAAGTATCACCCGTTTTCGGTTTTGAAATACGGTCTGATTACTTTGCCTTCATAATTCTGAAAATTCTATTTGCAGTGCTAACACTGTTATGAAGATAAATAATTATTATTTATGTTTTGCGTGATATAATACTAACGAAGCAATCATTCGATTTTTATACGAAAACGAGTGCAATCAGTAACAGTAATTATGCATTCGTAAAATGTTACAACAGTATTAAATGAAATTTATCGAATGATGTTGCTGATTTAAAATTATTTAATTGTACCAGGATGTTATTTTTCATATTAATATTTTAACACTTTGTTAAAATTTTTCTAATAAGACTTTAATCGCGATATTTTAAAGTCTCTGTCAATTTTTCTTAGAATGTAGAAATATTTTTAAACATACGTTATTGAAAAAACAGATTGAGGATCTCCCACTATTCTGTTATATTTTAAACTTTTTTTAATGTCACATCTGAGAGGAATAAAGGCCTTATTAGTGCCTTGGAGTTGATGTCAATGAAAAAAGGACAAACATTTTATGCCCGTCATATTTTGGAATAAAAATAATATTGCACATCATTTTAAGAGAAAATCTCATTAATTAAAATACCTAAAAATTGTCGCGGAATAGATTTTATGAATGTATGTATAGGTTATTATAAGATAAATTACTCTTTAATCGAAAAACATATAATTAGGTCACCATTCAGGTAAATGTTGTCAAGGAAGTTTTAAAACATTCAGATTTATAAATATTTCACAAGTATCCGAATTATTCTCTAATTATATCTTGCAGTTAAATAAAAAAAAAAATAAAACGTGAGGAAAATAATATCCATAAATATTTTATAAGCCAATTGATTTAAAAACTTCTAACACAGTGAATAATAAGTATTTTAAGAAGAAAAGCTTTAGTGTTTTTATATGTATTACATGTATAAGTAATTAGAGAAAACTGAATCTGTATTTATTATAACATGTAAAATAATTAATATGAACAAAGAGAAATACTACTTTCAACGGTTTATTACTATGTGCAATTAAATTTGGCTCATTCGAGGATTGTAATAAGGATGAATTTTTATCTGTCTGATTGTGACAAATTGGGCGAAAGATAATAATATATCAATCATTAAATTAAAGTACAAAAGATGCAAAATCAGAATTTCAGTTAACACATATCATGTACAGCGACTCTTATTACATTTTCCAATTTACAAATTTAAAATATAATTTTAATTATTAATTAATTACGGGTATAGATGCTCTCTTGAATTGTATAAACTTTCGAACATTAACGATCGAAGTTCGTTAACGTATATGGTGATGAGATTTCGAATTCCACGTTTATAAGTACATTGTATACTGAACTCGGCAATAATAAAATCTATTATATCCAATAGCAAGATATTTTACTAATATTTATCGATGTGAATAAAAGAAAGCATTTAAAAGAAGTTGGAAGCAACTCCAATATATTAATAATAAAAGCTCGTTTGTTTAAGAACATTCACATGGATCTTCAAAAAACCTTATGTCAAGCTATGTGTGAAAGTTAAAAAATACGAATGCGTTCAGGACACCACATTTTATTATTCCTATTATTATTATTATCACTATTATTATTACTACTACTACTATTATATTAATGTAACCGTTGTTATTATCATTATTGCGCAGGACTTTCGAAACACAATTGTATATATATCTTTTCCTTTTGTATTTTGGATGAAATGTATATTTTAATAAAATATCCAAAGTATACATTTTTTTAATCTTGTTTATAAAGTGTACGTAAATAAAAACTTATATTGGCAACGATATATTTTTAAATCTAATGTATAATTTCTCCTAATTAAACTGTACAAAAGGAACAATTATTAACCAGCATTATTTTTACAGTGTCTATTTTTTATTTATCAAATTTTTTAATATTAATTTTGTTGGCTTAATAGACAATAATGTGCTTGAAATTATTTTGAGAAACAACATTTGTAAGTATTAGAACATTTTGAAAATGTTTATATGTCAGGAAAATTAACTTCTAAATAGCACTAGTGACGTTGACAAAGCGCGCAAAAATATAAATTTTTAAATACATATAAGAATGAGTCTCCTCAAATGCTTTAAATTAATTACTTCGCAATCAACTACTGTCCTTAATATCTTTTTTACAAATTAAATCGCTGCGATATTTCCGCATATAAATTTGAATATAATATTTAGTTAACTTACGCTGTGATATAGTTCCTAGAATATCCATTCTAAAACCCAAATTGTGCAACAAAACGACTTGCTGTTAAAAGCAAGCATATATTTGCGAAAATTTGATTATTTATCAATTTTACGAATGTCTTTTGTAAATTAGACATTATTTATGACAATACGCTGATGTTATAGCGGGATATATTTATTTTCCTAGGAAAACCAATCATACACTTGAATGTTCCTACATTATGTACTGAAAAGACTATACTATATATAGTGCAGTATACAAGGGTTTGTTGACATGGTGGTGGATATGTAGTAACATAGAATTGATCATTTAAAAAATAAATACGTCTAAATTTATTTTATACGATGGCTATGTTCGAAGTACTAAGAAAGGAGTACAGTGTAAGAATCATAAAAATTCATACATATACGTATAACTGATTGCACTTTTGAGGTTATGTGGTTTATGTTTTCAATGATATTTTATTTGTATTTCAGGATTATTTACAACAATGTTTCATAGTGCCAGATGTTCAAACGTTTCAGAAGAAATGTACAGCGCGGTGTACGAATGATGGTGATAGAAAGGCTGCTATTGATCAAGCACTAAGAGACACTCTCCTTGTGATACTATCTGAAAATGCAGCGAACAATGTGCAGCTGCTCGAAACTTACATTACATTCTGTATTGAATTATGTAAAAGAGATTTAGCGACTGCGAGTATGCCAGTAATGCTACTTGGTGATATTTTTGATTCAATGACGCTCGATAGATGTGAACAATTGTTTACTTTTGTTGAAAACAATGTTGTCGTATGGAAGGAAGATTTATTTTTCAGTGCTTGTAAAAATAATTTATTAAGAATGTGCAATGATTTACTTAGAAGACTGTCTCGATCACAACAGACAGTGTTTTGTGGAAGAATATTATTATTCTTAGCTAAATTTTTTCCTTTCTCTGAAAGATCTGGTCTCAATATTGTTAGTGAGTTTAATTTAGAGAATTTCACAGAATTTGGTTCTGAAAAATCAGAAGGAAACGATTTGGAACAAGTAACCAAAGATGAAGATAAATCAGAGACTAAAGTGCCAATTGATTATAATTTATATAGAAAGTTTTGGGCACTGCAAGACTTCTTTAGAAATCCAAATCAGTGTTATAGTAAAATGTATTGGAAAGTATTTTCAGCAGTAAGTTTCAGCTACGTGTTATTGCTATTATAAAATTGTAGTGTAAATGCATTCTATAGTTCTTTACTTATGTTTTTTCCAGCATGCTTCTAGTGTGTTGTCAGCATTTTCATCTTTTAAATTGGAAGAACAACGTACCTATCCATCTACATCTATTAAACTCGATTCTTCAATGGAAGGATCTCATAAGGAAACTCCTTATTTTGCAAAATACCTAACAAATCAAAAATTGCTGGAATTGCAGCTATCCGATTCCAATTTTAGACGATATGTATTGCTGCAATTTCTCATTCTTTTCCAGTATCTTAATAGCACTGTAAAATTTAAAGCGTAAGTATCACAATTTGTATGCACTCCATTTAAACTTGTATAATGTTACATATGAATTCACAATTCCTCTTGATAGAATTGCACATTTTTTTATAAAATACTAGTAAAATAATTTTGAAAGCTATAAAACGATGTTTGTTTTCCAAAGCTTCCTTGCCAGTGGCTATGAGACAAGGTCTGCTTTCCTTAAATAGCGCTTTGAATTGATTTCAATGCAGAGTCTCAATAATTTTTGTCATTTTTAAGTGAAACACACGAACTGAAGCCTGACCAAGTAGATTGGGTAAAAGCAACCACAGAACAAGTTTACGCCTTACTGACAGAAACACCACCCGATGGCCCAGCATTTGCAGAAACTGTTAAAAACATATTGAAACGAGAGGAACATTGGAATGCATGGAAAAACGAAGGTTGCCCACCGTTTAAAAAACCAGATCAAGATTCTATCGATGAGGAAGAAGTAAGAAAACCGAAAAGACCAAGGCATAGAATTGGAGACGTTATTAGAGAAGCTCAAGCAGTAGGAAAATATCATATGGGAAAGTAAGTATGCAACTTTTATCTAGTTTAAAATACCAAATGCTTTGTTATATATTTATATAAATATGTTTTGTAGTCCAGAACTTACGAAATTATGGAATTTATGTCCTAATAATCTGGAAGCTTGTAAATCTAAAGACAGAGATTTCCTTCCATCTTTAGAAACATATTTTGAAGAAGCTATTATGCAATTAGATCCTAGTGCAATGGTGGATGACGAGTACAAGTAAGTATATTGTTTTATATCTTCTGTACAAATTAAATGATTACATTATTACTTGATTTATTTGTACAGAAAAGTTAACGATGGAAACTTCGGTTGGAGAGCGTTGAGATTATTAGCTAGACGTAGCCCTCATTTTTTTGTTCATGGAAATTACCCCATTAATAAACTTCCGGAATATCTTGAAACAATGATAAAAAAAATTGCCAAAGATCGTCCAGTAAGTATATTATTGTTTTAATAGTTTGTGTTGTTTTTAGTTGTTAAATTAAACTTGTACTATTTATGATCATTAAAGCAAACACAATCAGATACAAAATTAGAAACGGAAGAGACACCACCGCCAGAAGCAAACGATCAGGAATTCTCTGAAGACGTTTTAAAGCAGGAAAGCGAACAAGTCGAATCTGAAAACGCTGACGCAAAAGCTCGAAAATTAACGAAAGTCACACCAGAAATGGTGGCAAAGTTATCTGAAATTCTAAAAGGCGATTGGAAGAAATTGGCAACCAAGCTTGGTTATACAGCTGAGGAGGTAAGTGAACATTAAAGATAACATATGTAAAAAAAAAGAAAAATGAATAAATGTATATTTTTCAGATAACGTTTTTCCAAGGAAAACCAACACCGTACGAACAATGTAAAAATATGTTAGAAATTTGGGCGGAGGAAGACGTAGACGCATCTATGGAGAACCTTGCGTACATACTGGAAGGACTAAAGTTCACAGAAGCCCTGGCTGTTTTAAAATCTTAATTATCTTTCGTAAAAATATATGTAAAGAAATGTACATTAAAATGTACAGTTTACGTGAATTAAATTTTTACAATTTTCTTAAGGATACTCTTTCATGAAATGTTAACCTCTCCTAACCTCTTTTGTTTTCGGTAATCTCCGTGAATTATCGGACGATGGTGGGGAGCGCTACTAATATAACATTATAACGAGAGTCTACTGTACAAATATTTTCAGTTATAATTAAACATTTCTTTATAAATTTAACGTACATATTAGAATTATTTAGTTTACATGTATTTTATTTAAAATTTAAGGTATTGAAAGACTGATAAAAAATCCAGTAGATATACTTTTCGCCATTTATTTAGAAAGACAATAATAAAGTGTACAAATAATACAAAATTTTGAAATGAAACGGTCCTCGGTGCAAATTATATTGAAGGATAGTTGTTTTTATATCGTTACGTCAAGATCTACGTACGGCATCGAGGGGATTTTCATTCTTCGACACGAAATACGTATTCGCCAACAAGCGTGCTGACAAACTTAAAGGTATAGACCGACGATCTTTCTACTTAATCATAATGAATTGATTTAATTGTTAGTAATACATTGTATCTTCGAATTATAGACACTGACTTAGACTGGATTTATGCTCGATGTAAAAGCAGATGAGGATTTAAGATAGCGGCAGTTTTCCTGATAGTAACATTTTAGAACAAGAGCAATACATTAGTTGTAAAATATTACAGCAGAACCTCTATTATCGAAACATTATCGGAACGCTCAATTCTCCGTACAGTATTTCATACTTTTTATACATGTAATTTTGGCAGTATTTTGTACAGATAACAATCAAATCTCTTCACAATTTTTCTGCACAAACTGAAATTATCGTGTTCTCAGAGTTATAGTAATTTATTATATAAATATAAACGTTTAGTTATGAATTAAATAATAAATTGAATAGTAACGATACAATAAATTCAGTATAAGAATGTAGTTTTGGAAATGCAACCATAAGGTGTAAAACTAGTTGAATGTTGATATGGATCAACAAACTTTACGCCTGATGATAAATATTTATATATTGCTTTTTGTCAGTGATTTCTATAATACAAATGTAAAGGAATATCCACACACAATAGTATTACATATGCAAGAGAATTTAAGAGAATTCAAAAAAAAAATTAATAGCAAACATTTATTTTAAAGTAAATATTATGTATTTGGTTAGTAAAGTTTCATCTATTATTGGTTTGTTGGAAGAAGTTTCCAAGACCATTAATTTTCACATATTTGCAAAAATTAATGGGTAAAAATTAAATTAAAGTGAATTATTTTTATTTAGAATAGAAGTGTTATAAATACTCATTAAAATTATGTTAATTAATACGAATAATGTCACAATTCAGTTACAAATTTTCAAATTAACAAATTTTTAAATATTCTAGTTTAGTTATTTATCAAATTTTCAAAATCATAAATTCTTACAGCTAAAAATGTAAATATTCTTAAATTTACAAAGTCCAAACAAAATTTAAAAATTCAAGAGGTGTCAAATTTTCAAATTTACAAATTGATAAATACATTTACGAAAATTAAGAAATTTGAAAATATATAAATTCTCAATTGTTAAAAAATTTTGACAGAAAGTATATGAATTTACTAAATCATTCATTCACAAATTCTGAAATTTTTAAACAGAAATTCTCCAACTCACAAATTTTCAAACTGAAAAATTGTCAAGCTGAGAAATTCCAAAAATTAAAAAATGTCAAGATTTTCTCAAAATGAAAATATACGAAAATTTGAAAATTCACAAACTTTCAAATGCTGAACAGGCAGACCTCATTCAACATCATTAATTCCAAGACTTTCTTCTACAGCTCCCTCCGTGGCAATATAACGAGTGCACATACAGTTCGCGCATAACCGATCTAAAGTATATGAAGTTCAATGCAGGAAAATGATACGAACATTCTCGCTTCTCTATTAATTCCGACAATAGAGGTTATATTGTACTACGTATACGTCGAGTTCTGACAATATCTTGATTGCCTACACTTATTAGGCCAAATATTAGCGACTCTTCTCGTACTTGTAACTTCATACACCGTGCAATTCGTATCGCACTGATATGTCTGCCGCGAATTGTACACGGAGCATAAATCTGGATTCCGAATGCGAAAAAACTCAATAATGGTCTTTAGCGGAATCCATCTTAACCGACTGGTTGCTTACATCTAACATACACACCCATATGTATTGGCTAAAGTGTAAATGCAATTTGATCGCGGATATGAACTCCGATTTTTATTTTAGGTCGCACGGCAGCCCGTTAGTTTACGTTCTTTTCTCTTTCTTTTTTTCTACTTTTTCGCTTTTTTTTCATTAATCTCTTAACAGTAAATTGTGACTCGGGGCGGGCATTCTTGGCCACGCTTTGAAGACTCGTTTTCGCAGTAATGGTCTAAGAACTGGACGTTTGTCGTGACGTAGGGTATTCCTAATGATGTAGAGTCGATTCGCACTCGATGGATCAAGAGTACAGGCAATCGATGTGGGACACTGATGAACGATGTTTAGACGATCAGTCTTATTTCTTAAAGAGAGAACGAAAATTCGTGTAAAGCGTTGGCTAATAGCTCGCGATTATAACCTTTGGAATTACAGATACAGATTTTAGAAACGGGACTGATAATCACTGTTTGACGGTGGTTCACCGTGTTCGAATGATACTTTTTTATTACTTCTTTTATTGCTTTCTCATTCGTCCATCAAACAGCGATTATTATCGGATGCGTCTCGATTTCTTTGTTTGCATAACAACGAGCGAAACGTTTGTTTGTTGCCGTTGTTTACGTATATTAAGGGTGAGGAAGAGAAGAGTTAATTTTCCATTAGAGCATCCAAGTATTCCTTGTAATCGTTCTCCGACATCTCGTTCTCGTCCTCGGTAACTTCGACGCTCCTCCTCCTCCTTGTGGTCTCGCTGGTCACCTCTATACAGAGTAAAGCGAACTTGTTGTCACAGGAGTAGCGAACTTGTTCTAACAGCCGTCCGCCTGTTAAAGGCGATCCTAATCCGTAACGATCAGAGCTGCTCGAATGCCAGGCGTCGCAGTATGTGTCCATTGCTCGATCTCCCAATTTGTGTGAACCGTGCCACGCTACCTTTTCGGGCCTGCAATCAAACAGAATCATAATAAACGTAACTTTAGTATAGTCTCGATATAAGCGAAAATCATCTACACGATATCAGCGAAGAAATTATACTCATGACTAAGGAGAAACATTACAGTATACATATCTGTGAGACAATATCAATACAAATATGAAACTCTTTATTTTTTATTTTTAAGTAATCAAATTTTTACCAATAGATTTTTTACATTTTTTTAATTAAAACGAGGTCAAATACTGTATTATAATTTAGTGAGTGGAGAAGAGACGCTGCAATTGCGGCAGTCGGCAAAGGTCAAACTTGCTGTAGTGTCTACAATATTAATGCGCTGCTAGCTTTTTTATTTTTAGTCCTTTCTTCATACAACTTCTTCCAAAATATTTGTGACATTTTCCTGAGTAACATGAGACCAAACGCGACGTAGGTAGTTCGTAACATATTTACTTGTAATAACTTATTTATTTCAGGCATAAAATGTCTACGATTTCGACTGTGTCACGTGATCCGAATAGCACCGAATAATAACGAAGTTACCCGACGTGTCACTCGTCCGTTCACTATGAATCTGTAATAAAACTCCGATAAAAAAGCAAAACTTTTACAAATAAATATCTTACAAATTACGTTGTGTTTGGTCTCATTTTAATTAGAAAAATGACATAAGTATGTCGGTAAAAATTTCATGAAAAAAAAAATGAAAAATAAAAAAGTTTTGTTTTCGTATTAGAATTGCCCGTCGATATGTTACTATTCCTTTACGTTCTTTCTCAAACTTCGAAATTTTAAAAATCAATGAATTTTCAAGTTTTTATCAAATCACTGAAGTGAAATGTGAAAAACTCACCACGTAAAATCAGTTAGGATGTTCTTTCCATTGAAACTGTAGATTCTTGGATTCTGCGAGAAATACGCTCCATTTCCATTGAACATTTCTTTCCAAGAGTTAAACAGAACGTCTCCCTGGAAATTCAACAGAAGTCACTTTGTAACTCTGATATTCCAATTGTAGAAAAACTTTCACGGTCATATTTTTCAGAATATACAAGGTGTTCGAATAAAATTGTATGCACGCTTAAAAACTAATTTTCAGGCGTTCCATAAATATATCAAACTTATCATGTTTCATAATAACCTAATAATTTACTGTGTTTCCATCGCCACGAATTATATCGAAAATTCAAATCTGGGTTGAATTTTTTCCTCGCTAAATAAAATGTACAAAAAACAAATTAAAACAACAAAACATTCTAGTAAAACAAATATTTTTACTAATATTCTCTCAATCTGTACTCGTGTTTGCTTTAGCGGATGTCTCATTTCATCTTCGTTTTTCAGTTGTGTCAATATCGCCCTAACAATTGCGGATATGGTACAACGGTTCTGAAGATGGTTTTTGCAGCATTTAAATTGCAATTATCTCGCAGTTGAACCAACGACATTGTCCAGTTAAAAGCTAATCATAGAATTTTACGTTTATCTCGAAGAAAGACAATTGCCTTCAATGCGGAAGATTTCACTTTTTAAACTTAATAATTTAATCTTACGAATGTAAAACAAACAGAAGTATACAACGCCGCGGAGTGTGATTAATTTCGGGAAGGATCGGTAGCTTCCGGAGATGATCGGTAGCGTCCGGAGATAATCGGACAGAGATCGACAGCCGATGTGACAGATACACGAGACGTAGAGAAAAGCGCGGTAGCGCACGTGTAATGGCGTGCATAATGAAATTAATTTTTTTATTGTTAATATACTTTCTCATATAGATTTCTAGAATCCTTTTGATGTATTTCCGCAGTGTATTTTCCACTTCATTAATAACACAAACGAAGGTAACACAATCAATTTGTTTACTTACGAAGCTCGATCGATGCCAACATAAAGACAGGGTTTATTTACGAAACGCCTGAGAAATTGGGTTTCATGTAACCTAGCTTATTTATGTTAATACGTCAATTTTATAGAATTTACATAGTACAAATTATTATTTAAGGAATACGGACCATAATTTTCTGAAAGATCATCGAAGATACGAAGAGTTGGTATATTTATGCAGCGTACAGTTTGCATTACGTTAAATGGCGGATTACCTTAATGTTGACAATAGGAAGATCCCGATCTCCGAGTCTTACAATGCTGTCAACATTCTGAACCCTGGAACTGAGGAATGCACGGAATGTACCCCTTAGACCAGCTCGTTTTGCTTGTCGATAACAGGCGTAGTCAGCTCCGCGTACGCCGTGCATATCGCCGGTAAACGGTTCGTTCAAAGCCGCCATTCGTAGCTGAAAATCGTAAAATCGACATAACATTCTTGTCAAAAACTGAACTTTATTGTTATACTTTAAACACATAAACGACTGGTCGTTGAGGATGTCGTTTGCCGTCACAATCGAAAACATTTTAAACAATTGTTAAGCAATTCAAACGAAAATTGTTTCAGGTAGACATTGTTTTAGGACTATTATATTTTGTGACAGTTTTCAATAACGTTTATAGTAGGTAATATTTCTTTGGTACTGAAGATATGAGAAAATTGTATATGTATTTAGATTAGATATTATTATATGTAATAGAGCTTGGGATGTTAAAGTTGTTGAGATTTAAGACTGTGGCATTTTGGTATTTTGAGAATTAGGATTTTGGGAGTTTGAGAATTTGAAAGTTTGGGACTTTGAGAATTAGGAATTTTAGAACTATAGTACTTTCAGGCCTTGGAATTTTAAAACTTTACTTCACTAGAAATTATAGTTCTTGAGATTCTCAGACTTAAAATTTTTGAATTTTGGATTTCAGAAATTTCAATCTTCTGAACCTTAGAATTTTGAATTTTAAAAATTTACAATTTTAAAATTAATATTTGAAAAATTTGAAACTTAAAAATTTTGGAAATTTGATGTTATTTTGATTTTTAAATTTTATCTGTAAAATAAGCCGTTCTAATCAAAGAATTATTAAAGCTAATTTATTGCGATTTTTCATTACAGATGTAACTTTACGTAATAATATACAAATTTACTTTTGCAGTTGGCAATAAATTAATATTTTTTAAAATCGAGTATATGACATCTTATTCGAACTCGGTATTTCTCACAATGCTGAATTTATGACAAATGAAAATTGCAACAGTGAGTTACAAAGGCTTGTATTTACGCATTCTTATAGGCAGACAAAATGGAAGTATGTATGTACTCAGAAAATTGCAGCGGCAACACAAAATGCTGACGCGACTCTATATTAACAGAAACGAATTTTTTCTTACATTAGTAGATTAAAATTTCTTGTATAATATTAAAAAGATATGTCTAGTAATTTTTTCTACTTCAATCTTCGTTTTTAGATAAATTTTGGTTACACTTTTTTTGAATATGCATTAATTAAGTTAATTTATTTAACTTAATTAATTAATTAACTTAATAAATTAAAACTAGATTATTGGTTAGATAGATTATTAGATTAGTGTATTGCTAATTAGATACTTAAGTAGAATATTAATTAGATAATCATGATGTAGATCCTAAAATTAGAACTATCCACAATTTTTAGTAGTTTTGAGGATTTAAAAACTTGCAAGGAATTTAATTATAAAATTATGCTAGTAAAATAATAAAATACTAAATTATTAAATTATTAAATTATTAAATCATTAAATCATTAAATTAATAAATTGGTAAAATAGAGAATATTGAAACAGAAAATAGTAAAAATAGTAAAATATTAGAATAATAAAATAATACCAAAAAATGCCAAATTATCTTAACTTTTTGATCAGGGATTATGTACATTATTGCAGTCACTCTTATCATGTACCCCTTCTCATAACATTATAAACAAGCAATACAAACTTCACATGATCAACATCCACTACAACTTTTCCATTTTCAACGATGCAAATTCAATGTTTCCATCATAATTTAACGTAGTAATTACCAAAAGTAAATAGAACGCATCTAGTGAAGCGAAATCAGGTTAATCTTTGAAGAGGGAAAATTCAAATGAAATATTTCAAGCAAAATGAAAAGGAACTCATGTTTTATTGGTCTTTTAGGTTAAGCTGATCTACCAGTGACTTACCATTCGCGGATACCACTTTGCAGCAGAAGAAGGAAATTTCATTGAAATTAGGTAATGCATTAGTTCGCATCTTATCATTTACGTTTTACAAGATTAAGATGGCTACTCACTCCTGTTCCGTCTGCTTTCACGGGTATTTGGTTGATCAAGTTGGAAGCCTCGAAAGGTGGATTTGCTGGGGGCGGTGATGTGGTTGGCGGAGCTGGTGTAGTTATAGGCAAAAGTGATCCTAACTGTGAAACACAACATGAATATTTTCAGTTAAATTGATTTTGCTATAACATCCAAATGATATACAAATTAGATATTGATGATATACACATTGTATTGTATATGATGATATACAAATTAGAATATTAACTCTTTGAACTGGAAGGTAGTTTTGTTATTTTTCAATTTATAAATTGTAAAATTTATCAGTTGAAAGATTTGATGAATTTTTAAGATCTTTTGTCTTTATTATTAATTGCCATTATCTGTTTTATTGTGCTTATATATTGTGTGTATAAAACGATTTGTGATATAGATAAAAAATAATTATATAAATTGTTATATGTATAAAAATTGTAAACAACGATACTAATTTGCATAAGTACAACACTTATATATAGAAGTATTTATACATATGAGTATTGTACTTATGCAAACTGTACAAATTGTTGTATAGGAATTTTACAGAATATTTAAACTGTAATAAATATATTATATTAATTATAATTAATTATAATACAAAATACATACTTGTATTAATCATGTTAATTACAAATATATTATAAATGTAATAGTAATTGCATAATGAAATGTAATAAAAACCGAATACTTCAATTGAAATAAATATATTGTATTGATTGTACTGTAACATATTTATTTATTAATACAAATAGTACCAGTAAAAAGTACTAGTCAAAAGAGTCTAATTAATGTAAAATAAAAAACGACTAGGGTAATAAAAATTAAAATACACTATAGAATATACTTTAAATATTTTTTTGTTAGAAGATATTTTATTATATCTCAAACAAACAAAAAAGAATGAACAAACAAATTTTTTAAATATCTTATGTTCAACGTTTTAATGTCTAAATCAGCATATGAAGAGGTTAATTACTTTTTACTTTTAGATTTACTTTTCGAAAGAAAAAATGTAATCAGTGTCTGCCATATTTTTGGAGAAAATAATTTAAAACATTTTATTTGTACCACCGTGTATACGCATACGAGGCGTGACACAAAAGTAACGAGACTAGGTCTGTAACTTGAAAAAACAATGGAATTAGCAGCAATGTGTTTTTTGTGGCATCATCCCACATACCTCCTCTATCCATGTTGCCAACTTCGATTGAATCGGTCATACCATTTGGAAATATTACGTTATTTAGTGAACACGTGCAACTGCATTCTGCCGGAAAAATGTCTAACGTAAAAACCGAACAGCGAATAAACATCAAGTTTCTTATAAAATTTGTTGAAATCTGTTGTAATATGTGATGAGACATGTATTTTTACCTATGACTCACAAAGTAAGCGCCAGTCGATGCAATGGAAGTCTTCAGGATCCCCAAAACCCAAAAAAGAACG